GGTTGAAAAAAATGGCCATTCAGACCCAGAGCCCACACGCCCGTCGGAAGCCGACGATCAAGCTGGATGCAAACAAAGACCCTCGCATAGGAACAACATTGGAGGTCCCTCGTTTGGCCATCCAGAAATAAAGGTTCTCCCACCACCGACGCCATGCGCGCTAAATTGACCTCGTCCCAGTATTCCAGCGGCAACTGTGGGAAACAAAGCTACACTGGAGATGAGAAATTGCGAGACGAAGCTGGGTTGAACGCAGGAGACCACTGCTGAATGCCAATGATATGGCCAACTACAAACCACGGTCCACCGATAAGGACAGAATCGCGAGCAGATTTGGAGTGAAACCGACAGAGGAAGCAATCTTGCCCAAGTGGTGAAACATCAGTGAGGCCAGCCGTTTTCCACCGACGGTATAGTTCAGAACGAACAACCTCAAACGGAACTCTCCTTCCAAGCAAGCAACCAATCAAAGCAGATTCAAAGTGGTTTATATGAGCCTGAGCCGAAAGGATGTCCAGTGAAACCACTCTGTCAGAAAGCATGAACGAATCAGGGGATTCAATGGAGGAAAACCGGATCGGTGGGGGGGCCACCCACCCAGGGACCAAGTTAGAAGCCAAAGGAGAGGCGGAAGTAGAGCCATCAGCCCCGGAGGGGGCAGGCCGATAAGTAGGGGAAGGGCTAGAAAGGAAATCCCCTCTAGAGGTAGCCGAACGGGCAGGAGCCATAGGAGGCAACCGCGAGCAACTGGGAAGGACAGACAAACCATCAGAAGGTGGGGCAGTACCCGAACGCACCACCACACCAGGGCGAGAAGCCACAGCCTGAACGGAGACCAGAGGGGAAAGGACATCCCCATCCGGATCCAACACCGCAGAGCCACGCGCCACCCCCTTAGAGGGAGGAGCCCGAGGGCGTCCCCCCTACCCATCGCAGAGTTTCTCACACTAAAGCACACAAGAGAGAGAAGGAAGAGGGCGAAAATGAGAAAGCATCCCAAAAGTTTTTGGGTTCCGGGCCAAAGTTTTTGGGTTCCTTGAAAATAAATTGCATTAAGCAATAGTCAAGTACAGAAAAATAAAGACAAAGACAAGGAAAACTCCCCAAAGACAGAAAGGGGGTGGGCCGGAGCAACCACAGGAGGACTGTAGCAAGGGTTTGATAGGCAGCCAAAGAAGAACGACTCTCCGTTCACAAACCAAACCCCGGAGGGGGGGGGGGGGGGGGGGGCCGAAATAGAAGTT